GTTAGGGCAGAGAGACTTTTGTTCCAGGTCAGCCTCTGCCAGTGCCCCAGAAGCTGGACAGCTTCCCCTACAACAGAGACATTTCCCCACAACTTCCAAATTCTGTCTTTGGATGGAGCAACACCTTAGTCTCCAGACTCCACTTACTTCTTTGAGAACCGATGCGTGTGTTTTTTCACTCTGGCCATAGAGATTATATAACATCATTTAATTTAAAAAAGTAGTGTAAACAAGAAAGTAGCACAAAAATATAGTGTTGCATGGAAGACTGATGCTTGCTGCTGAGAAGCTGAAGCCAGAGGTTGTAGATCTGGGGAAGGAGCACTCTTTAGTGTGACCTGAAGGGCAGAGGACAGGGGAGCTGGTCCTCTGAGACCCCCTAATACAGGGCTCTTTAGAACTGGGGCCAGGCCACAAACACCAGTGTGAGGGGACTCTATGAATTCCAGCTGCTTCTCCCAAGAGTGTCTATCCAATGAGAGAGCACCCAAAGTCTTATCATCGCTCCAGACCTGCCGAGGCCTGTTCCCAGACCAGCCTCCCTATGCTGTGCAGCCAGAGTACCCTGCTCTTTACTGCCCCAGCCTGGTGCATCCTGGTTTCCTCCATTATGTTGTCCCCTTTCTATTGGCAACTCAAGGGTGCCGGTGCCTTTTGGCCCCATTACAGGTACTCTCTCCCAGGATCTAATCCACTAGTTTGGCTAAAAAAACAAAAACCCCTCTGCTATATTCTACTCCTCTGATCAGTAGAGTTCTTCCTATTCTAACGAACGTCTTTGAAGGTCTTCATTTCCTTCTCCGGTTGACACTCTTCAGCTCTTCCAGTTCCTTCTTCATTATTTGGAATTCGGCAGTGGTCTCAGAGAACTGAAAGTAAAGAAGCAGACCGTCAGAAAGAGGACGTTCTCGGCTGGGTTTCAGGTTTGCAAGGCCAGCCCTATACACTGGGTGAAGGCCCTGGCATTCCGTAACACCGCCTGCCGGCCTCCATGATGAACCACTTGGTATCTAGACTGAACGTAAGCACCTCAAGTACTTGAAGAACTTTCACAATCCACTCTATTCACGATCTTGATCACCTAGAACTGCAGGGCACTCACAGCATTAAGTACAGCAGGCCTCGGGGGAAGAAAAAGGCTGGGAGCACCTCCTTGCCTTTCCCACCCCCCTCTCCTCCCCTGCAGGCACATTACCTTTGCCTTTCTCTCTCCTAAGCTCTCAGTGCCCTTCTTTTCTTCTGTAACTGGTTTCCTGAGCACAGGCAGCCCAGGTGGCTCACTTCTACTACCTCTGTAACTTTTTAAAAAATATGTATCTTTATTGGTTCCAGAGAGAGGAAGGGAGAGGGAGAGAGAGATAGAAACATCAATGATGAGAGTCATTGATCGGCTGCCTCCTTGCACACCCCTCACTGGGGATGGAGCCTGCAACCCGGGCATCAGACTGGGAATCGAACCAGGAGCTCTTAGATCATAGGTCGATGCTCAACTGCTGAGCCACACTGGCCGGACTACCTCTGTAACTTTCTAAATAAACTTGCTCTTATAATTTGGAAAAAAAAAAAAAAGGCAGTTATTGGTGATTCTAAGCTAAAGGATTAGTTGCTTCTGAGCTGTAGCTCCCATAATGATGCGTAGGGGGAAAGTGCTTAAAGAAGAGTGCCACTTTCCTCATCAGGACCTTTCAATGGACTAGATATTCACCACAGGGACAGAGATGTAAACTCTCTAAAGTAGAGGTCAACTTACTATGAAATGAGACCTACACTTCCTGAGCCATCCACTATTCCGAGTGCTTCACTTATATTATTAACGCATTACAAGGTGAGCCCCACTATCATGCCTATTTTACTGCTGAAGAAATGAGTTCTTCACACAGATCAGGTAAGTAACTTGCCAAAGACATGAACAGTGTGGAGCTGGGCAAGGAGCCAGGAGTTTAGCTGCAGCACCCACGCTCTTAACCGCTCCAGTGTATGCTCTCCTGCCTCTCAACCAACCTTCACATGTATCTCTAGGCCCAACAGCCTGCTGGGTTTTTACCAGCCATGGGAAACTGACGTCAATGCAGAGTGCCCCCGGGCAGGTCTTCGCCAGGCACTGATGAATGCCTGCGCGGTACAGGGCACCTCCAATTCATGAGCAGACTGTCCTCCTTCCTGAACGCCTGCACCCCAGCCTCCATTCCTCCCTTTACTGATCTATAGTCAGCTCAAACATCCCTTCCTATGTGGTGTCCTCCCGTCTCGACAGAATTACTTTCTCTATTATGTGCTGACACCAGGCCCTGTACAGACTCTAACTGTTGCCCTCATCACGAGGCACTGTCATTGCATTTATTGTCCATCTCCCCATTAGACTGTGAGTGCTTGAGGGCAGGGTCTGTGTCTGATTTGATTCTGTATCTTTATATTCAAAGCAGTGTACCTGGGCACAGTGGTGCTCACGAGGTATGAGCTGATGAACTGACTTAAGGTGGAGCCTCCCTCCCAAGGAAGCCTGGGCGGCCCTTCCCATCACGATCCTCACCATGTCAAGCAGGACGTCCACCTTCACCTGCAAGAGATTGTTCTCTTCCTCCAGCTGCTGGTTCCGCCTCCGGAGGCGCTGGGCCTCCCTTTGGTCCACACCGCTACTAATCCCTGTCTCTGGTAGAAAGAGAACCAGCAGTTACAAGGGGGAGTTCCTTCCACAATCTTGTTAGGCAAAATGGCAAGAAATCAGCCCACCTGCTACCCAATGGCCATTTTCAAACTTCAGGCTTTGTCCTGCCAGGTTCATAGTGGGAGTTCCATAGTCAAGGCCCAGCTCCACCTCGCGGGTTGACCGATCCAACTGTGAGTGAGACATTGCATGCCAGCTTCAGAAGGCCATGGCACTTGGGCTCTAGTCCCAGTGTTTCTCCTAACTACAGGACCCCACTTACTCATTTCTTCCCTCTAACCATTACCCAGTACATTTAATAATATTTTTTAAAGTCAGAAAATCAAGTAAGATGCAACAAAAAATTTTAAACTATAAGAAAAATACTGCTTTATACACTAGATGTTTTCTGAAAAACCTATATAATAGGCTGAAATTTGTAAAATAAATTACTTTACATCTACTGTGAAAAATCCTTTTTAACTGTAATAAGCCCCTAAGTTACCATCTGCTTACTGTGGAGCTATATATGTCATGGACAAGGCAGAACATGCTAATGACCTATTACCAGTAGCTGTTCTTTAATGTACTTTTTTGATGTTTCTACAACTCGCTGAGAACCCAGCCTGCATCAGGACTAGTACTGGGTATTCAGAGATGACTGAGACCAGCTCTGCCCTCCAGTAGCTTGGAAACTACCTCTGTGACATACCCCTTTGAAGGCCATTAATGGGGGCAAAACATCCTCCTTAAAGAATGATTTGATTCTTAGAAGTGACTAAAATCAATTCCTGGCCATATCTTGGGAATGAAGTGAAGTCAAATTGGGTAACATTTGGAGCAAAAAATCATAATGAGATTGACTATCTTATTAGGTTCTTGAACAAGCTCTGACAGTAATTCCCAAATAGGAGTTAACACTGATTTTAGCAAGAGCAATATGAATGAAAAGGATGCCCTCCTACTTGGATGCCTCTGGAGAACCCCACTTTCCATCAGAGACCAGGCTCAACACTCATCACGCGCACACCAGGCTGACCCTAGTACTGACACTCACATTATGCAGGTTGGACAGAGAAGCAGACTTCCGAGGGGGAGTCTTCTTCGGACTGAACGTATTCCCAAAGAGAGGCATCTTTGGCATGACGAAGGAAAGGTCAATGCCCCCTGTGCAAGGGTCAGAACAAGTCAGGGGTACAAACAATTGAGTCAGCGATTTTATGTCACTGTCCTAAACCCATGAAAACATACATTTTACATGGCTATTCGCAATCCTGGTAACGGCTCCCACGTGCTGAGAGCTCACTGTGTGCCAGGCAGGCAGTATGCTAAAACCTTTGCACACAGTATCTCGAGTGTCACGACCACCCTTTGTTTAGCTCCCCTCATTATCGCCATTGGACAGACAAGGTTTACAAAGACTAAGGTCCTAAGGGGAAGCTAGATTTTGAACACAGGTGTTTGTGGCTCTACAGTTTATATTAACCACAGGCAAGTGCCTAACTTGCCTATCTTAAATTTTGTCACAAGTTGACATCACCAGGTTTATAGTCTAGAGCAAGGAATACAAATCCACTTGTTCCCGTACATTGGTAGGAATCACACTAGGCAACAGCCTCTGCAGATTCCCTTTTTTAAAAAAATCCTCACCCACCATATCAAGGATATGTTTTGATTTTAGAGAGGAAGGGAGAAAGAGAGAAATATTGATTGGCTGACTCCCTTATATGCACCTGCAGGGATCGAACCTGCCACCTGGGTGTGTGCCCTGACCAGGAATCAAACCTGTGACATTTTGGGGTATGGGATGATGCTCCAACCAAGCCACACTCGCCAGGGCTTTCTTATTGTTTTAATTTTATCCATTCTGGTAGGTATGTGGTGGTATCACATTGTGTTTCATTTGCTTTTTCCCCAATAACTAATTAAATCGAACACCTTTTCATATGCTCATTTGGATACCCTCTTTTGCAACATGCTTGTTCCAGTCTTTGTCTTTTTTCTATTGGGTTGTCTTTTTATTTTATTAATATGTAAGGGTTCTTTACATATGATGAATACAAGTCCTTTGTTGTATATACAGAGAATACTGAAAATATCTTCTCCCAATCTGGAACTTGCCTTTTGTTTTCTTATTGGTTTCTTTTTGATTAAAGAAGTTCTTAATTCTAATGGAATCTAATTTACCCATTTTTTTTAATGATTAGTGTTTCGGTGTCCTATTTAAGAAAATCTGTCTACTCCAAAGTCATGGTACTTTCATATATTAATTTCTGGAAATTTTATTGTTTAACTTTCGCACTTAGGACTATGATTCATTGGGAATTTTTGTATAGTGTGTGAGACAGGAGTCAAGGTTCATTACTTCCCATATATTACCCAGTTTTAACTCATAACACACAAGTAGCTTAAAAAGATTCTTTCTAAGAAACTGTAGATTGATGATAACAATAGTGAAAGCACAAGTGAGCAAAAAGAAAGTGGCAGAGCTCTCACTTTCCCTAGTCCTAGGTGTAAGATCTTCCTTCACTACATTATGAGATAAAAACAGTAATGAGTTCATCATATCTGACAAGAAGTTGGCCAAAAAAAGAGGAAACTTCAAGACTTCAAGACTATTTGAAACAAGGTTTTATATCAACTATCATTAAAAGATAACTCATAGTATAAATCCAACACAATTAGCAAGACATGTTTTTCAATGAAAACATGAAGAAAAACTTCTGTGCTATTTTTAGTGATGTAAAAATTAATATCACTAAAATTAATGATAAAAGTTTAAAACTTCTTTGGAAGTTTTAGAATATACAATACAGAGTTATGTATATATGATTTATAAATAAGTAAATATATTTAGCAGTGTGTGCTTAATGGTAGGTGTGTGTCTGTAATGACAAAAAGCAGTAGGCCCACAAGCTATGGAATGGCATTTGGGCCTGGGCACAACACTTTAGGACTTGGACAAACAGAATGCTTCCAGCTTGGTGGTGGACAGAAGAGCAGTGGGGACCAAGATGCTGAGGGAGTTTTAAGCTGTGTTACCACATCATCCAAAACACAGTGGAAGACCCTGGCATTGTTTCTGCTGGAGAAAAAAAAAGGGTGGAAGAGAGAAGGCAATTAATCTTATGTCTGTAGAGGGCAGAACAAGAATGGAACAGGAGCATCCAGAAAGAAAGATTTTAACTCAAAAAAGGGCACAGCAACAAAAATTAGTATCACTTCCTGCATATCCATTATAGGTTGGGCCCAATGCTAGACACGCTTCCTGTATTTCTTGTATCCCTTGCAACAACCTCATAAGGTAGGTATTTTCATATCCGTATTGGATATAAAAAAACTAGGGCTCAGAGGAATTAGGCAATTTTCCCAATGTCCACAGCCACAGTTGGCTAACGGTATACAGCAAATTACCTCTGTATTAATAATTTGTGGGATACATCATAAGAAGAAGCATTTCCAGCCATCATATTTGCAAAATTTCGAAGATGAATAATAATATCCAGTACTGGTGAGGGTGTGGAGAAAAACATTCTCTTGGTGGAAACCTAAGATGCTGTAATTTTTCAATTAGGCAAAACCTAGCAACATTTTAAATGGGCATACTTTTTGGCTAGTAAATCTACTTCTAAAACGTACCCTCCACAAAGTACTGGGCATGTTCACACAAGTGTTCTCTATTGTTAACAGTGAAAATTAAGAAATAATCCAAAATGGCTATCAATGGCTGGTGTAGCTAAATAGATTGTGGCACATTCTTTTAATGGAGTACTAAATGGCAAGGAAAGGCAATGAGATAGCTGTATATGGGAGGGGGAGTAGAATGGCTGACTCCAATAAAATTATCATTTTATAGGTTAAAAATAGTGGAAATTTCATATGTCACAATATTAAAATATATTAAAGAAATATATGTCCAGCCCTGGCCAGTGACTCGTTGGTTGGAGCATTGTCCAGTGCACCAAAAGGTCTTGAGTTCAATTCCGGGTCAGAGCACATACCTAGGTTGCGGCTGGGGTGTGTACGAGAGGCAACCAATCTATATTTCTCTCTCACATCAATGTTTCTCCCTCCCTTCCTCTCTTTCTAAAGAAAAATTAAAAAGGAAATATACTTCCATATTTAATGAGTTATTACAATAATATATTTATGTATTACTTAGGAAAAAACACAAATGAGCAAAAAAAACAGATAAAAAGCAGCATGTCTCTCCAAGTACCTGGAGACATTTGAAAAAGGAAAAAAAAAGCCAAGTTGTTGCAAAGCCCCAAATTGTGCTAATAGCGCTCTGCCTGAGCACATCACCTGGACACAACAGAGCAAGTTCCAGGCCTGGCTCTGCCCCTCAGTTGCCTGCTAAGTTGCAGTAACTTACCCTGGTTACTTTTTTCTCAGGGTTTTAACAGGGACACTGCACCAATGACCTCACTAATTTTCATAACCCTTCAGCTGAGAGCCATCATCAATATACAACAGATGAGGAAAAGGAAAGGTCTGCACTAGCTGCTTTTTAAATCAGATTCAATAATCCACAGCCAACTCTGGCTGAAACCCATGGGTCCTGGAACATTAAGGTGGACCCAGAGGTCCCCTTGGCAGCCTTCCGTCCAGTGAAATTCCGGGGAGAGAGAGGGCTCAGCACAAAAGAAGTTAAGGGAGAGCATCTGGATTCCAACCAGCTCACCCCAGAGGAACCACTTGCCTTCCCTGAGCCTCAGGAGTCTTTATTTGTAAGGAGGGGTAATAACAGTATCCGACTCACAGGTTGTTAAAGTGCCTTAGTGTTTATAAAAAGCTGTGGCATTTGATGCTCACAGCAACCCAAGGATGTCCCCATGTGCAGATGGGAGAACTGAGGCTTGGAAAGCTAAGTAACTTGCCCCCGTCACACCGTGGGAAGGTGGTGGAATTGGGCTTCAAAATAAGGCCTACTCCTCTGCGCGGGTGATGATCATCGCTTCATTACCGTGTGGTGCTTTACAGTTTGCAATGGGCCATAGGAAACATTATGGTATTTTAGTCTAACAAGAAGACGAGTCTTCGGCCTTCATCGGATTCTCAAAGGGATCCGCGTCCCCTGGAGTTCAGAGCCAGCCGAGTACTGGCCGCGTAGGTACACGGCCACTGGGGGCTGGTGGATTCAACTGACGGTAGCGAACTGACGGTCACCCGCACGCCCTTGGCAGCCCACCTAAAGGGAGGAATGACTGTCCCAACTTACGTTCGCGGGAACACACTCGGAGAGGGGCGGTGACCGCCTGGCGTGAAGCTGGCATCGGCCCCCGCCCCCCGCCCGGCGCCATCGCTGCTCTCGCTACCGGGGGGACAGGTCGCCTGGGGAACGCCCGGACGTTCTACTCTTCCTCAGGCCCTCGCGAGACGCCGGGTTAGGAGACCTACCTGACGCGCCCCACAAGCACGCTTCCCAGTAAACGCCTAGACCACCCGCAAGCCGCGCGAACGCTCCCTCCGCTCGCGGCGACCGCGGCTGCCGGTCTCTCCGCCACCCGCCTGCAGCGCGCATGTGCAGCCCCGCCCCGGACTCTACCATCAAGAAAACGGGGGGGCCGGCGAGGCGGGACCCACTGCACGAGCCTTCGCGGAGCACCAGAAACGCAAGAGGAATGCCTTCCACATGTTCGACTCATTCCACAAAGGGACCGTCTCCTGGAGTCACCTACATGTCCCCTTGATATAGGATAGGATGAAGAACTACACTCGCCCCCCCCCACGGACCCATTGGTCTGGTCTCCCCAACCTACACTGGCTGTCCCTTTGGTAACCGCGTCCCGCGAGGCTCCCTCACGTTCCATTGTTGTGCGACGTGGAGACCGGGAGGTCGCGCCCGGCGTCGCCTGGGGAGCGCCAGGACTCACAGTAGCAAAATGGGCGTCTCCCTGTTTGCCCCGCCTCCTCTTCCTCCCCCGGGACCCCTCCTGGTGGGTGTGGGGACAACGGGGGTCAGCTGTCTCATCCAGAACTTTGCAGGGTCGCCTGAGAGACCCGTGGCGGAACCGGCCCCGAGTTCGTCGGATTCCGCCGAGGTCTTCGGGTAAGACAGACAGAAGGACGGCGACCCACCCGCCCGCCTCCCCACGCCCGACTCTCACCTGTTTCTACAAGGAGGCGAAACAGGCCCAGGGCCGCTTCAAGGTGTCACAGTGAGCAAGGGGCAGAGAGCTGCTCGAGAATCAACTCTGGGTCTCCCGAAGTCCCCACACGGTGTATTATTAGGTGCATCTGATAAGTGAAGAAACTCGGGGTCATTCAGTGGATGTTTACTAGGTGCCTAGTGGGTGCACTGGCAGGACCCGTGGGTCTCCGCCTCCAGTTGTAATTTTCTTCCAACTATAGCTCACTGCATTGAAAAGGGAGACTTCCATGTCCTAGAACCACAGTCTGCACGGTCTAGCCCGGCACTGCCCAATGGAAACAGAATGTGGGCCACATACGTAATTTAGAATTTCTTAGTAGCCATATTTTTAAAAGTAAAAAACAACAACAAATCAGGTGATATTAATTTGAATGATATTTAACTCCAAATGTCTCGAATATGATCATTTTAATGTATAATTAACATATTCGATTTTGTACTGCTTCATTTTTAAATTAAAAGAAAAAGTTTAGTTTTTCAGTCATTAACCAAATTCCAAGGGCTTACTTGTCACTTGTGGTTAGTGGCTACTGTGATGCACAGGTCTAGCCTTTTCCTACCTTTCTCCCCTTGCTCGCCTCTGCTTAGATGGTGTTTCCCCTCCCCCTTTATCTAATTAACTCCTGCTCTTCCTTCAAGTCTTGGCCCTGCTGACTAGGTCAGTGCCGACTATTATGTCACCTTGTAGCACTGTGTATTTCCCTTCGAAGAAGTGGTCAGAGTTGTCATTCACAATTAATATAAGTCGGCTGTTTGACAGAAGGGTCCTGGGTTTGATTCCAGTCAAGGGCATCTGCCTCAGTTGCAGGCTTGATATTGCCGCCCCCTCGCCCTCCCAGGGCCTGTGCAGAAGGCAACCAATCAATGTGTCCCTCTCACGTCCATGTTTTTCTCTCTCTCTCCCTCTCTTACTCTCTCTGAAAAAAAAGTAGTAGAAAAATATCCTTGGCTGAGGATTTAAAAAAATTTTTTTTAAAACATGTTAACTTTATTATTATTTTTCATTCCTCACCCTTGGACATGCTTTTATTGATTTGAGAGAGAGAGGAAGGGAGAGAGAGAAACATGAATGTAAGAGTGAAACATGGACTGGTTGCCTCCCGCATGCGCCCTGACTGGGATGGAACCCCCAACCTGGGTGCGCGCCCTAACTGGGATTGAACCTAGGACATTTCGGTGTACGGGATGACACTTCAATCAGCTGAGCCACCCGGGCCAGGGCAAAGCATGTTAACTTTAAACTGGGACATTCCAGTCTTGGTTGCCAGAATATGTGCTCCATGAGGCTAGGAAGTTTTTTTTTCTTCTACTCATCTACCCCCAACACATAGCACAGTGCTGGGTTCAGGGTGGTTATTCAATTGAGTTAGTTCCCTCCCCTGTCCTTTTTTCCTCCTTAAGCACTTGACAGGAAAAACTTACCATGCTTTAGAGAATACTTATCCTAAAATGGTAAGATGAAAAATTAGAAGGGAACAGTGTGTGTATTTTAAACATTGCTCTTAAAAAGCATAATACTCACTTCTCCCATTAGGCATGAGTAGTAATGTTAAGCTAAAGCTAGAGGCTTCGTGACAGGGTCACCCTAAGTCTGGCTTCTCAGAGAATATGTAGTTTGCCAGTCATGCTGGGGAGTGGGTAGGAGGAGAGTGAGAAGCCCTACAATGCACCTGCCTCCTCGCTACCCCCTCTCCTCCCTTGCCTGTTTAGCTAAAGGCTAAGCGCAGGAGGGAGGAAAGAGTATTGACCTGGGCCTGGGCTAGCCCTTCCTATAATCCAGCTTACTTGGGATAGCCCAAAATGGATAGCCTCTTTGGACTAGAAAGAAGTCTAAAATGGAGACATATTGAGTGAACCTAGTCCCTAAGGAGTAATTTGCCTAATGGAGAAAGCTGTAGAAGCAGGTAATTCCAGGTAGTATTCTAAGTGCTATAAACAGAATTCTAGGTTTCATGGAGAGCAGGTGGTACTAACTGCCTGGAGTAATTCAAGAAGGTTTTCCAAAAGATGCGTGACCTGGGCTGAGCTTTGAGTACAGGGAGCAGCACATGCAAAGGCATAGAGACACAAAATATAGCATTGCAGGGACCAGAAAGTAGTTCAGTGGGGCAGGCATAATAGGACACACTGCTGAGGAGAAGAGGACCGAGCAGAAGGCATGAACAGGAGAGGAAAGGAGGCTGTGGTAAAAGGGCACCTTGGTTAATTAAGTTTTCCACCAAATTCTACCTTTTCTCTCTACTTCCATTATGTCTGAACTTATTGAGGGCAGATCTCCGTGTTTTTACTTCATTATAACCAGCTTCTACCACCAGGCTTTGGGCATGGAAGACCCACAGATGGTAGTGATGAACCAAAAGCAAGGGCCCAGGACAGCAGCCTGCCATAGTGTTCTAAATCCAGGAGGAAGGGAAGTGATGGGGCTAGTTTTCTGAGAAGGAGCAGAAGCCTTGGGGAGATTAGGACCCTCATGCTGAGGAGATGCACACATACCATAGAATCATAGCATCTGAGAGCTGAAAAGCATCTTAGGAAACTGATTCATATCTCAGATTTCCAGGGCAAGCTCAAGGAGGCAAAAAAAGTTTGAGCCCTGGCCAGTGTGGCTCAGTGGTTTGATTCCAGCCAAGGGCATGCACCTCAGTTACAGGCTCAATCCGTGCAGGAGGCAACCAACCGATGTGTCTCTATCACATCGATGCACCTCCCCCCCCCAACCTTCCACTGTCTGAGAAGTAATGGAAAAAGTATCCTCAGGTGAGGGTTAAAAAAAAAGATTTGATTTCATTTCTAATTTGGAAACTTGTTTGCCTTCTCTTTCTACGATTTTTAAATAATATTTTCTTTTCTCTAGCTTACTTTGTTGTAAGAGTACAGTATATAATCCATATAACATACAAAGTATGTGTTAATTGACTGTTGATGTTATTGGTAAAGCTTCCAGTAAACATTAGGCTATCAGTAGTTAATTTCAGTAGTCAAAAGTTGTGTGTGGATTTTCAACTGTCCCCATATTGTTCAAGGGTTAACTGTACAATAGTTTTCATCGGGGCTGGGGGTGGGCATCAGCAGGCAGAAAGAAAAAGTATATATGTCTTGAAATCCTCAGTTGACAATGGGCTTCTCAGACAAAAGCCTTTATTCCATCAGCCCTGCTTGTGTTTTCTAAGATAGCTCTATGCTATTTGTGATTTCCAGGATGCTGATTGAACAGAGAACAAGATCAGAGTGAGAAGTGAGAAGCTTTTAACAGTGGAAACTCACTATCAGTTTACAAGAAGCTGGACAAAGGCTTATTTCAGGAAGATGGATGTCATCAATGCCACCACCTTACCAATGGTGCCAGTGGATGATTCTCTGGCTTTCTCAGGCAGAACACAGAATGCGATACAGAATGCCGTGAGGAAGAATCTGGAACACAGTCTGCGCTGTATCCTTCTGTGGTGCTGTTTACAATCAAGACCAAATACACCTGCTGCGGAGGTGTAACCTGTGCCGAGTTTATAACAAGCATGACTCACTAGCTCGTTCCTTCTGCATTCATTACTTTCTCACTAAGTTCTCCCTAGCCTCTAAAAGAATTTGAGCCTGTGAAGGATTGTTTGACTTGAATTTGTTTTACTAAGATGATCAGAAAGAGCTCAAGAGGAAGAAGTACTGGGGATATTTGTTGAAAGAATGAGGGAGAAGAAAAAAACTCATTTTTTTTCATTGTCTCCTTTCCCTTTTACTTGCCAAAGGATTACAATTATAGCTGGCAGTTAAAAAGTCAGTGTCAGGCCCTCTACCGTCAGACAAGTGAACTTAAGACCCAATTTAAAAGATTGTTTTTTTTTACTCCAGTTGACCTCACCTCTCCTCACCAGCCAGCCCTTTTGCCTGGCCTCAGAGTTCGCCCTTCTGGCGCCACCCAGGCTCTGCCAGCATCTTCCCTAGGGCTGCCTTCGTTGATCCTCTCACTCCTGACCCTGAACTGCATCCCAGGGACCCACAGAATCCTGGCTCTGGAGCACTTAGAGTTTGTCCAGCAAAGAGCCCTCTCAGGTTATAAATAACCTCAGGTCTTTCCACCTCAGACAGAACTCACTTACCTTCAAGTCATGCTGCTGCCAGTCAAACTGCCTGTACCCCTCCGTGTCCCCATCTCTCCCTCGCCTCTCAGAAACCCTCCTCCAGATAAGCACCTGTGATCCCATCAGGATCTGTTTCAGGGTCTTGCTTCTCTGGGCCTTTTCTAATGTTCCCTCTTTCCTCTTAATCCCACACTCATACCAGCCTAACTAACCCATTCGATTTGCCACATCCCTCCTTGTCATCTTCATTTGTCAAGTATCCTCCAATTTGTGAGAACACTTGAGGATAATGAAAGAAAGCGTGAGCCTTGCCTTATGTGAAGGTGGTGAGAGGAGTGAGAGGATTATGGGGATTTTACAGAGGATATATCCTAGATCAGTTGAAGCTAAGACAGAAAGAAATTCACACGTAGAGAGGGTAACAAATGGGCTACTGAACTGAGCAGAGATTTCAACAGTGACAAACAAGGTTGAGATACACTTTGATCCAGCCATCTGTCACCTATAAATCTCTCTTAAAGGAATAATCCAGAATATGGAAACAGAACTCTGTGTGATTATGTGGATTATTTTATAATTGCAAAAAGTTCTGAACAATTTAAATATTCAATAACCAAGAAACAGTTAAGTGTATTAAGGTGCATCCTCTACATGGATTCATATAATGCCATTTAAAATATTAGGAAGATTATTTATGGAAAATGATCATATTAATGAGTGAAAGAGAAGTCATTGTTGTAAAATAGGCATACACTGAGATTATAATTATGTAAAAGTGTATGTGAAAAATACTGGAAGGAAATCTCACCAAATCCTAACCAGAGTTATTAGGGTAGTAGCATAATGGACGATTCTTTTTATATTTTTTAAGGTATTTAAAATATAATTTTCATTTATAATTTATAAAGCAACTCATTTAAAACAAGATAAAAGAAGTGTTGAATGTTTGAAAAGAAAAAATTAAGTGGAGAGACAGCACAGAAAGGGAGTGAGTCTCTGTCCTTGCCATCCTGTCTGTGTATAATTACCACCCAGAGAGTTTTCTTAGCGGACTTACCTCCCAGCATGTCTCATTGGCTCCATCCACCAGGTGAACCAAAAGATTGCCGAACTAGATCTAAGCTCCAACCTGTTGGACAACAGCTTGGTGAGTTATGGGTGTTGGGGCTGAGGCCAGGCTTCCAGGAAGGAAGGGCTCTAGAGGCCCTTCCATTTATTTTTAAAGCACATTTGCCCAGTAGAGGTCTCAAAGATATATTTTTAATTAATACATTTTATTTTTAGAGCATATTCGGGTTCACAGCAAAATTGAGCTGAAAGTACAGAGTTGTCGCATACCCAGGTCCCCACACATGCACAACCTCCCATCACCACAGTGGTGCATTTGTTATAACTGAGGAACACAGATTGGTACATCATTGTCACCCAAAGTCCTTCCTTTACATTAGGATTTTCTCTTTGTGCTGTACATTCTGTGAGTTTGGACATATGTGGATCAACTTGCATCTACCTTTGCAGTATTGTACAGAATAGCTTCACTGCCCTAGAAACCCTTTGTGCTCCTGTTCATCCCTTCCTCCCCTGAACTCCTGGCTACCACTGATCTTTTTATGGTCTCCGTGGCTTTGCCTTTTCCAGAATGTCATATAGTTGAAATCATACGGCATGTAGCCTTTTCACACTGGCTTCTTTCACTTAGTAGTATGTGTTTAAGGTTCCTTCCATGTCTTTTCATGGCTCGATAGGTCATTTCTTTTTAGTACTGAATAATATTCCATCGTGTGGATGTACCGCAGTTTACTTATCCAGTCACCTACTGAAGGACATCATGGTTGCTTCCAGGTTTGGGCAATCGTGAGTAAAGTTGCAGTAAACAACCATCTGCAAGGTTTTGTGTGGACATGGTTTTCGGTTCATATGGGTAAATACCAAGGAACATGATTCCTGGACCATATGTTGAGTATATTTAGGTTGTAAGAAACTGTCAAACTGTCTCCCAAAGTGGCACCATTTTTCATTCCTACCAGTAATGAAGGAAAATTCTTGTTGCTCCACATCCTTGTCAGCATTTGGTGGTGTCAGTGCTCTTGATTTTGGCCATTCTAATTGGTATATAATGATATCTCATTGTTTTGATTTGAAATTCTCTAATGATATGGGATAGTAAACATCTTTTCATATGCTTACTAGCCGTCTGTACTTCTTCTTTAGTTAGGTGTCTCTTAAGATCTTTGCCCTGTTTTTTAATTGAATTGTTTGTTTTCTTATTGTTGGGTTTTCAGAGTTCTTCGTATATGTTGGATAACAGTCCTTTACCATGTGTGTCTTCTGCAAATATGTTCTCCCAGTTTGTGGCTTGTGTTCTCATTTTCTTGACATTGTCTTTTGCAGAGCAGAAGTTTTTAATTTTAATGAAGTCCAACGATCAATTGTTTCTTTCGTGTCTTTGGTGTTGTATCTAAAAAATCATCTCCATACCCAAGGTCATTTAGGTTTTCTCCTATGTCATCTTCTAGGAGTTTTATAGTTTTGCATTTTATATTTAGTCTGTGATCCATTTTGAGCTAATTTTTGTGAAGAGTGTAAGGTCTATGTCTTAGTTCATTTTTTTTGGCACACTATGTCATTTCAGCACCTTTTGTTGAAAAGACTGTCTTTGCTCCATTGTACTGCCTTTACTCCTTTGTCCAAGTTCAGTGACTATATTTATGTGGATCTATTTCTGGGCTCTCTGTCCATTGATTTATTTGTCTATTCTTGTGGTATTTGTCTATTCTTGTGCCAATACCACAATGTATTGATTACTATAGTTTTATAGTAAGTCTGGAAGTCGAGTATTGTCAGTTCTCCTTCAATATTGTGTTTGCTTTTCTGGGTTTTTTGCCTCTCCATACCAAGGTTAGAGTTAGTTTGTCAACATCCAGAAAGTAACTTGCTGGAATTTTGATTTTACAACAAGCATGTATTTATATGTCACCTCTGTGATTTTTTAATGATAATTTCTAAAAGCAGGAAAAAGAATGACATTATCCTCCCAGAAGTAAGTTCTGGTGGCTTTTCAAGACTGCCCAGCATTGGCATACCTCCCTCAAGATGCCTGTCAAAACCAGGATGGGGCTGGCAAGAGCAATCTTGGTCCTCACATGACCTGGAGGAAGGGACCCCTTGCCTATCCTTTCTGCTCCTGTGCCCAGACAGCTGGTCAGATCTGTCAGATGCGGACTGCCTATAGCCACTAGAGCCCATCCCTGGGCTACCCTGCCCAATCTCTTTTGGCCATGGTTTGCCCTGCCCTTTATACACCAGGCCTTGACTGTGTGGCCACTTCTCCTGAGTCAGCACTTATGGCCAGATTGGTTTCTCTAGCCTCTGTCCTGTCCTACTGGATGGCACCTAGTACAGTGCCAGGAGGGGCATTTCGCAGTTTAGCAAGCAAGCTAGGGCTACAGATACCTCATCATTTCCCCCAACGCTTATGTCCTACCTCTTTGAGGCAGTCCTTTGTGACTGTTCGAGCTCACACTTGGTTGAATCTTAAATTGAGCAGTTTAATTGTCCCACAGGTATTGATTTGGCTCTCTGAGTAGACTGTAAGTTCCTTGAGAGCAAGAACACAGAATCATACTTCTTTGTTAACTTTGCTATCCGGGCACTGTGGGTACAGGGCTGACAATCAATACAACTTGTTGGGTCACTGACATTCATTTTTCTTTCTTTCCTTTTCAGGGGGTGGGGGGAGGAGAGGAGGAGTCAGAGATCAAGAGAATTTTCTTGAGAGGTCAAGGGTATGATATCAATAATAATAATAGCTTTACTGAACAGTTCTTATGTGATAGCCTCTGTGCTTGTTTTAAGATGCATTAAATACTTTATATCTGGTCCTTGTAAGAAGCCTGAAAGGTAGGTATTACTATCCCCCTTTTACAGAGAAAATAAACAGTAGCTTGTAACCTGTGGAGCCACGATTGGAACTGCTCCAAATCCTGTGCTCCTCAGAGGTGTAGCCCAGAGGTATGGTCAGGAGGAGGAGCATCATGAGAGAGGGCAGGGTTGGGGGACCCGTATTAGTGGTTACACTCAGGGGGTTGAGGTCAGTGGCCACCAAGATCCTACCACCTAGAGGGAAGACAGCAAAGCACTGTCACAAACTTTGCACCGGGCCTTTTGCACACCAACAGGAAAAATGGCCCAGTCCCCCATCCTTCCCTCCACCAAGATTTGCATCAATCCCTAATGCCCCATTTCTTTTTGGTTTTTGAAGGCAATTGAGAAATTTGAGTTGGAGAAGAAGGCCTTAAGAGAGAAAAGTCACGGCAGCTCTGGAGACAGAGGCAAAAATCCTTTCTCATTGCCTTGATGGTGTTTTTGTGGGGTTTGGATTTTTAGTATCTAAAGTGCATTCAGTAGGAATCCAGAGTTTCAGATGAGGATATTTTTGTAATCTTCTGAAGGAGCCTTAAATCTGACTTCTTGACATTGGGCAACAAAGGAGGGAAGGACAATACCATTCAGAGACCACTTACTATGTGCCACATTGCACCAGGTGGTTTCAGATTCATTCCCCTGTTAAATCTTCATAATGCCCCAATCTGTGGGCTTGGTGCCATTGACTATGTTTTATAGATGAGGAACAGGCTTGGGGGAAGGGAGAGCTTAATAAGTCAGCAACACGGGTGGGATTTAGTGAGTGTAATAATGTGTCATCAGGCAGTTCAGGTTGAATGAAAAATCACTTATAATTACAGCACAGTGGTGGACACTCCCCACGGTTACTCACATCCCATTTCTCTTCTTCCATTCTTCTGCAGACAAGAGTCAAGGAAAATCACAATATACTTGCAGTGGCTCAGAATCCAAGAATGTCAGATCTTTCACTATTAAAAGGGTAAGGGATCCTGGGCCTGGGCCTGACTGGTTCCTTCATGAAATCGATTTTATTCCTGGGAGTGGGGGAAATAATTGCACCTGGATGGTGATTGTGCACGAAGATCGCAGAATTCCTTTTATAGAGGATTTTAAAGTTTTTAAATAATGCTAGAATTTCTCATAACAGCCTGGAAGGGGTAGGATGGGGAGTCATTTGTCTGTTCATTTGTAGAACATAGGTGTTTTCCCTTAGAAACAATGAGTTCAGATTCGGCTCACACAAAGCCCCTGTGTCCCACAGCTCCAAGGGGCCGTTCACACAGCAGGGGTAGTCTGTCTGTCCCTGTAGAAGCTGAGATTCAGGAGTAATTAGATGACCTGTCCAGACCATGCGTGGCGGATGCCAGAGCCCCACTTCCTGCTCAGATCCTCAGACCCATGGCCAGACTCTCTCTGCCCTCTCTAGCCACTGCCCCAGTTAAGATTCTCCTAAGCCCGCTCTTTAAACTACATAGGTCATATGTATTCAAACCCTTCAATGCTGGGGAATATGAACTACAATATGGTAGTGTTACCCTGTTTTTACTTTTTAGCCTAGGACATTCCCACACAGCATCAAGTCCAACAGCTGAGAGTCAGCATCAAAACTGTCATGTGACCCACGATGGTGGCCAAGTGGATTTAAATGTCCTGCCCAAGGTGGCACAGCTACTAAATGGTGGAGCTGATGTCTGACCCCAGGTTGTCTGACTCAGAGTCGGTGCATTTACTCACTGAGTTCCCCCACTGTCAATGCCATAGCCCAGTTAGAGAGTAACTCAGTCCCTCAAAATGTTTCCAGTAGATGCCTTTGGGTAACGGTAATTTTTTAACAAATTTTTGTATATTGATTTTTAGAGAGAGAGAGACATCAGTTTGTTGTTTCACTTATTTATGCATTCATTAGTTGCTTCTTGTACACGCCTTAACTGGGGATCGAACCCACCCCTTTGGGCATATTGGGATGATGCTCTAACCAGCTGAGCTACGTGGTCAGGGCTGGGTGATGGTAATTGGTTTCCTTTTTCTACTTTTCTGTACTTTTATATTTTTTTATAGTCATATTTTATTTTTATTCTAAAAATCCACTTAATGATAAATATTAAGAACCAGCCCTGGCCGGTTTTGCAAAGTGGTGAGATCATCGGCCCTCAGACTGAGGGGTCCCGGGGTTCAATTCCAGCCAAGGCATGTACCTCAGTTCAGGCTTGATCCCTGGCCCCGGTCAGGACGAGTTCAGGAGGCAACTAATTGATGTGCCTCTCTGACATCGATGTTTCTCTCTTTCTCTCCCCCCACCCTCTGAAAAGCAATGGAAAAAATATTCTCTGCTGAGGATTAAAAAAAAAAAAAAAAGTAACCATAAGGATAGTCATATTCATTGATCTAATATTGCCATTTTGAGAAAATCCTACTAAATAAATAACCCAAGGGTAAGGAAAACTATACGTTCCAAGTTATAAACTTTTAACAATATAACAGCGGTAATAGTAATTGGAAGTAATTGTAATTAACTGTTAATTAAATTATAGCCCATGTTATTAATAGGATATCTTATTTTAGATGAGAAATTTGAAGACAGTGTAGTAATTTGAAAGATCTAAAGTTAAGTTGACAGAGCAGGACATAAAAGTATGTGTGTGGTGGAAGGAGTGGGGAGGTTAGGGGTGGAAGAGGGCATAGAGGGGATAAATGGTGATGAAAAATAAAATAAAAAGTGTGTATGTGTGTTGTATTGTAAAATGAAGTTTCATATACCATATTTGTATACAAGTGCTCAGAGCCTGAAAGGGAAAGTAGAAATAATGTGAATGGGTGTTTAGTGAGGGGTGCTGGGATCATGAATGTGCCCTCATATTTTTCAACGTTCTACAAGGTTGTTTTATTGTCTTCATGATATAAAGGGGAAGATACTTTATTGTCTTAAACTGTCAAGATGATGCCCCCCATTTTTATATACTGCTTTTTTAAATTTCAGAACACAGCAAATAAAAATCTCCTGGTGGAGCTGTACCAGCACCCACATTTTAACAACTCTATGCCGAATGAGCTTCCGAATGGGGTGGACTTCTGTGACATGGTGGCCAATGTGGTCCAGTCTGAGAAAAACCCCCTTAGTGGCAAGGTAAGAAGGAGCATGCAGCTTACCTCTGTGCCATCCAGCCGTGCACCTGGCTATACCCCAACTTTACAACTACCCCTGTGGCAGACACAGCTGTCCCTGATTTACACCCCAGGAAACAGGACATTTGAATAAGTCGCTGAGGGCCACACTGTTTGCAAGTGACTTAGCTGAGATAGACCCCAAGCCCACGTTCCCTCCAAATCCTAGATTCTGTCTACCAGAGCAATGGGCCCCAGATCTTTTTAAAAATTTTTCTATTTATTTATTTATTTATTTATTTATTTATTTATTTATTTATTTATTTATTTATTTAATTTATCTTTATTGTTGAGAGTATTACAGCTGTCCCATTTTCNCTTAGGTATTTTATTTATTTATTTACCTTTATTGTTGAAACTATTACAGGTGTCCCATTTTCTCCCTCCAATTGACCCCCTCCACCTTGCTCCCACCCCCTCCTCAGGTCTTCATCCCATTATTGACTGTGTCCTTGGGTTATGCATATATGCATATAACTTCTTTGGTTAATCTCTTCTCACTCTCCACCCCTCTTCCCTCTTTCCTCTGAAATATGATTGTCTGTTACATGCATCAATGTCCCTGGACCCGTTTAGTTCATCAGATTCTTTTGTTCATTAGCTTCTTCTAAAAGACCCTTCAACATTTCCTCGTCTGGTGGTGATGAACTCCTTTAGCTTTTTCTTATCTGTGAAGCTCTTTATCTGACTTTCAGTTCTAAATAATAGCTTTGCTGGGTAGAGCAATCTTGGTTGTAGTTCCTTGTTTTTCATCACTTTGAATATTTCTTGCCACTCTCTTCTGGCCTGCAAAGTTTCTGTTGAGAAATCAGCTGACAGTCGTATGGGAGCTCCCTTATAGGTAACTAACTGCTTTTCTCTAGCTGCTTTTAAGATTCTCTCTTTGTCTTTAACCTTTGGCATTTTAATTATGATGTGTCTTGCTTTGGGCCTCTTTTGGTTTCTCTTGTTTTGGACCCACTGTGCTTCCTGAACTTGTAAGTCTATTTCTTTCCCCAGAAAGGGGAATTTTTCTGTAATTATTTTTTCAAATAGGTTTTCACTTTCTTGGTCTCTTTCTTCTCCTTCCGGTATCCCAATAGTATGAATGTTGGGCCTCTTGAAGTTGTCCCAGAGGCTCCTTATACTATCTTCATATTTCTGGATTCTTTTTGCTCTTCTGGTTGGGTGTTTTTTGTTTCCTCATGTTCCAAATTGCTGATTTGATTCTCAGCATCCTCTACTCTACTGTTGATTCCCTGTAAGTTATTCTTCATTTCAGTTTGTGTAGCCTTCATTTCAAATTGGTTCTTTATTATGTCATTGATGGTATCGGTTGTTTTCATAATACTCTTCCTAATATGCTTGAGCATCCTTATAACCAAAATTCTGAACTCTGTATCTGTTAGTTTGCTTGGTTCTATTTCACTTAGTTCCTTTTCCAGAGATTTTTTCTGTTCTTTCCTTTGTGACATGTTTCTTTGCCTCCACATTTTGGCTGCTTTCAGGTGTTTGTTTCTGTGTACTAGGTAGAGCTGCTGTCTTCTGGAATTGGTAGAGTGGCTTTGTGTAGTAGGTGTGCTGTAGGGTCCAGTGGCTCAGCCTCTCCAGTCACCTGAGCTGGACCNTGGATGTGGTAGGGTTGTAATCCAGCGTGGTTGAGTCTGACCACCAGGTGCACTGTCTCTGGGGCCTCCCGGGAGGTGCAAAGTCAGCCTCTGCCGGTGCCTTGCCCAGGGCCACCCAGCATGAGCTACACAGCAAACCGTAGTTGGCTGCTACTTGTGTTGGGCTTGGCGTTGTCCAGGAGAAGCCAAGCTATGAGCCAGTGCAGGCTGCCACTAGGGCCAGGCCTGGGGCCGCTTTTCAAACTATATGGGGCCCGCTGCTGCTTGTTTGAGAGATTTTAGGAAAGTCCTAAGCATGAGACTTGAGAGGCCACTTGCACAGAAAAGCCCCTGGAAATGGCCTGGATGAGCTGCAGGTGCAGAGGGGCGGGGCCTCCGGGAACCACAGGGCGGGGCCAAAGGTGTGAGTCAGGTGCTGGCAATTCAAATGTGGCGCCTGCCCTCCCAGCTGTGTGCGGGGAGGACTCGCCAAAGAAGCAGTGGCCTCTGCCAGCCCTTCTGCCTGGGAGGAAGCTGCCCTTCCACCTCTCGCCCCGACTTCAGGCAGGTTAGTTCCTCCCCGAGTGTCCCAGGTCCTTTCAAGCTGCTGCCCGGCGCTGGGCTCAGAGGGAGCGTCCGAGTGAGTCCGCGCCGCGCCCTTTAAGGGGAGCTGCTGGGGCTCCCACAGCCTCTGAGACCCTCAGCAACAGTCCCCGCTGGTTTCACGGCCCAGAGTTGTAGGGACGTCTCTTCCCAGCCCTGGAGCCCTGGGCTGGGGGCCTGCTGTGGGGCTGGGACCCCTCGCTCCTCCAGGAAACCCTCATGGCTGAGATTCCCTCCCAGGTTTAACCCGTGGCACCGGGTGTGTGCCCGAGGCGAGTCTCCAATTCAGCCCCGATCCGCCCGCGTCTCCGCCCCTCCTACTGGTCTCTGGATGCTTCTTCAGTTCCCTGGTTGTAGGGCTTCTGTTTATCCAGATTTCAGGAGGTTCTGAGTGATGGTGGTGGTTCTGTATTTTAGTTGTAATTTTGATGTGGTTGCGGGAGGCGGTGGGTGCAGCTGTTACCTACACCACCATCTTTTTTCTACCCCCCCAGATCATTTTGATCATGTATTCCATTAGCAAAAAATGTTGAGTACACACTCTCATGATATATGCTTTTTAAAATACGATATACATGTTCTGTTGTCCATTACTACACTGTGTATCAGCAACAGAAATAATGTGAATTTTGTTTCTTTTCAAGTATTTCTGTTCAGGTAGAGATTTAGAGAAGTTTCTCTCTTCTCCTTCTCTAAGAGCCATATGGCTGGATAGCTTCTGGTGGATCTTTCATGAAAGGTACCAGGTAAATGCAAATCTGATTGCTTCTCTCCCTTGCTTATGTCATTTTCCTATGGCACAAATCCTGACCTCTTCACATGGGCCATAAGCCCTCTGATTCCATGGGCTGCCTCTGCAGCCTCATTCATCACCCCACCCCTTCCCCACCCATGCCTTGCCCTTATACCCTGTGCTTTGGTCACTACCCTAATGTCTTGCAGCTACCGCGAGCTTTAGTAACTATTTCCTGTCACATGGCTGGTCAAGGGCAGAGCCAAGAGGAAAGTCAGGACCTCCTGGTCCAGAGTTAGGGTGCTTTCTTCAACACTCTGTCCCTCTGTGCATGTTTTATAAATCCTATAAAATTACTGTACATAATTAATGAGCTTAAATATCTTGAGAATGAGATTCCTAAGAATGAGAGAAATTATCATTTAAGAATCTCAGCCCTTGGCTGTTTCAACAAGGGACTCTTATAATTCCTTCTCTATTTTTATTCCCCTTAGCCAAATAAAGAGGTCCAGAATAAGCTATTCGACCGGATATCCCTTCACTACGCCTTTCTTTTGTTTCATGAATCCAGGTCCCAGCATGAAGAGTCTATTTTAAAAGTGAGTATCAACCACTGTTTAGAAAAAAAAAAAAAAATCACCTGAGATAGCTGTTCCCTTCTAATTCTGATGGAATGCCCTTAACTTTCTTTCCATAAGGGAGTAATTAGTAAGTTGTTATGTATTCATACACTGACTTGTAATGTAGCAGTTACAAAAATGAGGTAGGTCGTGTATGCAGGATGGGGCAAAAGCAGGTTTACAGTTGTTTGAGTGGAAAATAGTACAATAATTAATAAATAATAATAGAAGAATAAATGTTTCAGTGCATACTCACAACTGTAAACCTACTTTCCCCCACCCTGTACTGATTGGGAAAGATATAATGATATGTCTTAAGTGAAAAACAAAGCAATTTATACAATTCTGTGTTAAAAATATATATGCATATGTATATATACTTATGTGTACCTATGAACAGAAAAAAATCTGGAAAAATATTTACCAAACTCTTAGCAATGGTTATATTCTGGGAAATAAGGTTATAAGAGACTTTCTTTTCTATTCTGTATATTTCTGTAGTATTTAAATAAGCAATAATTTGAAAATTAAAAGTAGAACATACATATTTACTTTTTATATATGAGTATATGTATATATGTACTAAATGAGTTGCTAGAAGAAAATATAAATGAATATTTACCTGATTTGGGGGTGGGGGAGGACTTTATATTTATTTAATTTTTTTTTTCTTCTTTTTTTTAAATATGTCTTTATTGATTTCAGAGAGAGGAAGGGAGAGGGAGAGAGAGAGATAGAAACATCAGTGATGAGTCATTGATCGGCTGCCTCCACGTCCCCAACTAGGGATCGAGCCCGAAACCTGGGCATGTGCCCTGACCTGGAATCGAACCTCGAACTTGTGGATCATAGGTTGATGCTCAAACACTGTGCCACGCTGGCTGGGTGGGGGAGGACTTTTTAAATATGACCCCAAATAACCGTAAAGGAAAAGACTGATTGATTTAATTACATGCGTTTAAAAAAATTACTGCAAAGTTAAAAGGCAAATGAGAAACTATGTAAAAATACCAGTACCATATATGTCACACAACATAAATTCTTATAAATCATTAAGAAAGAAATGAAACACCTCATAGACCAATGAAAAAAGTACATAAACTAGAAATTCACCGGGGAAGAAATACAAATGGGAAAAAATTCATCCTTCATAATAAAAAATATGAATTAAAACAATAATAACTCAATACGCTTTTTTACGGGTTAGCGTAGATTAAAAGAATATAGGGTCCGGCCGGCGTGGTTCAGCAGTAGAGAGGAGCTGGAGGAGGGGTTGGTGGCCTAGCATAGCATGATGTTTGAGAAGTGCTCCCCAGATAGGGGAAGGAGTCCACCGAGCCTTCGGGCACTGCAGACTGAAATTGCTCTGCTTATAACCAGAAAGGCAGCATGGTATCAGGTCGACAATTTTATCACAGGACCTTTCTGATGTCAGGGGCTCTTTTCTGGGTGTAGAAATGTCCAGAATGTTGCCTGAGCTCTGCTTGCCCCCCAGAGGTTGCCATCACTTCTGAGTAAAGCCCTGTACACCAGCTTCTGTTGCTGCTTCCCACAGTCCTGGTTCAACACAAATGAATTCAAGTCTGATATCTGTAACACCATGAGCCTGTGGATTTCAGGTAAGAGGTGGCTGCTTTCTACTGGGGAAAGCAGTTCTGGAAATACCTTTTCCACCTGAGTATGCTATCTGCCATCACACTCCTTCATTGAGGCAGTTGTCCTTTTCTCTCCTTGGCATTAAAGAAAGGAAAGTGTACAGTTAGAGCCAAAAGTACCAATTTTCCTGCTTCCTCAAAACAGTTTTGATACATTCCTTGTCCCCTTTTTGTGTCCAGCTGCATCTGCAGGTAGCAGGTTTGAGCATAGCCCATTTGCTGTGCAGAAGTTAACCTTGTGCTGTGAGCTGATGGACCCAGAACTCAGGAACCCAAAAGAGTATGCCAGTTAGAGCATCCCACCCTTCCACACTCCCTCCCCATGTAATGGCAGGTGGCCCAACTGTGTAGTCTCCCTCCATCTGCAGCACACAAAATGCCAGTGTGTTGTTTGCTTTTCAACTGTTTTCTGTCTCCTTGCCCCCTTCCCCCATCTCAACTCAGACTTTTAAAAAATTTTTTCAGATATGTTTTTATTGATTTTTTTTTAAATCCTCACTCAAGGATATTTTTCCATTGCTTTTCAGAGAGTAGAAGGGGGAGAGGGAGAGAGAGAAACATTGATGTGAGAGAGACCCAGCGATTGGTTGCCTCCTGCACATGCCCTGACTGGGGCTGGGCATCGAGACTGCACCTGAGGTACGTGCTCTTGGCCAGGATCGAATCTGGGACCCTTCAGTCCGTGGGCCGATGCTCTAACCACTGAGTCAAACCGACTAGGGCTGTTTTTATTGATTAGAGAGAAAAAGGGAGAGGGGGAGAGAGAAACACCCATCGACTGCCTGCTGCACTCCCCCTACTGGGGATCAAACCCACAGCCTAGGCATGTGCCCTGACCTGGAATGGAACTGGCAACACTTCCATGCACGGATGACACTCAACCAACTGACACCAGCCAGGGCTTAACCCAGACATTTTTAAGGTCACTAAAAGCTACCATTTATTGAGAGGTTCCTGTGTCCTAGGTACTCTGCTAAGTAAGCACTTTTTACATATCCTGCTGTATTGGCAGTCTCCAGGATTACTCCCACATTAGGAGATTTTGCTATGAGAACTCACAGGTGCATTCATAGCTAAGATTTATTAGAACAATGTGGTAAGGATACACAGCCAGATCGTAGGGGAGAAGACTGGCAGAGTTGTGAGGAGTTTCTGTGCAGGCTTCCTTGTGCTCTCTCACTCCCATGAGGAGTTATGCAGAACCCTCTCCTTCTGCAACAAAAATGTAGCAACGTGTGTGTGATGTTTCTGCCCAGAATCCCACTAGAGAAACAGCAACAAGGTTTTGGGGAGCTGGTAATATAGACACTTCTGTCTACATGTACCCAAAACCCAGAAGAGCAGGTGTTCAGCATAAAGCACACTGTTTTAAAAGCAGTCTTGGCACAGTGAACCACTCTTATCCACTGGGGAAAATGTTTTCCTCCAGCTTTATTGAGATGTAATTGACATATAACATTGTGTAAGTTTAAGGTACAATGTGATGATTTGATACACGTAGGTATTGCTAAATGTTTACCATAACAAGGTTAACTAACACATCCTTCACCTTACATAAGTCACATTTTCTGTAGTTGTCATGATGAAAACATTGAGGATTTACTCTCATAGAAACTTTCAAGTAGACAATATGGTATTGTTAACTATAGTCACCATGCTGTACATCAAATCCTAAGAACTTGTTCCTCTCATAACTGGAAGTTTGTATCCTTTGACCAACAGCTCCCCATTTCCCCCACCCAGATTCTAAACATAAGTGAAATCATACAGTATTTGTCTTGGTCTGACTTATTTCACTTAGCATAATGTCCTCAAGGTCTGTCCATGTTGTCACAAATGGCATGATTTTCTTCTTTTCATGGCTGAATAATATTCCATTGTGTGTATATTCCACATTTTCTTTACCCATTCATTGGTCAGTGAACACTTAGGTTCCATGTGTTGGCTATGGTAAATAGTGCTGCAAGGAGCATGGGAGTGCAGACATCTCTTCAAGATAGTAATTTTATTTCCTTTGGGTGTGTATGCAGAAGTGAGATGCCTGGATTATATGGTAATTCTATTTTTAATTTTTTTAGGAACTTCCATACTGTTTTCCCTAATGGTTGTGCCAATTTACATTCTCACCAACAATTCACAAAAGTTCCCTTTTTTCCACATCCTAGACAGCATTTGTTATTTCTTGTCTTTTTTATGATAGCCACTCTAATGGGTATAAGGTGACATCTAATGGGTGTGGTTTTGATTTATGTTTCCTTGATGATTAGTGATGTTGAGCGCTTTGGCATGTACTTATTGGCCATTTTATGTTTTGGAAAAATGCCTATTCATGCCCCCTGTCCATTTCCTAATTGGATTGTTTATTTTGCTATTGAGTTGTTTGAGTTCTTTTATACTTTAAATATTAACCCCTCATCAGATATATGATTTGCAAATATTTTCTCCCATTCAGTAGGTTGCCTTTTCATTTTGTTGTTTCTTTGCTATGTAGAAGCTTTTTAGTTGGATATAGTCCCACTTGTTTATTTTTGCCTTTGTGCTTTTGGTGTAATGTCAAAAAAAAAAAAAAAAGAAAATTCATTGCCAGGATTAATGTCAAAGAGCTTTCCTCCTAGGTTTTATTCCAGGAGTTTTATGGTTTTAGGTCTTACACTTTAGTCTTCAATCCATTTTGAATTGACTTTTGTAAGTGGTGTAAGATAGGGATTCAGTTTAATTTTTTTGCATCTGAATATCCAGTTTTCCCAGCACCATTTTTTTAAAGAGACTATTATTTCCCCATTGAGTATTCTTGGCTCCCTTTTCCAATAATAGTTGACTCTGTATGTGTGGGTTTATTCTAGGCTTTCAATTCTGTTTCATTGATCTATATGTCTGTTTTTGGTTTTGCCAGTACCATACTGTTTTGATTTCTATAGCTTTGTAATATAGTTTAAAATCAGAGTTGTGATGCCTCCAGCTTTGTTCTTTTCAAGACTGTTTTAGCTGTTCAGGGTCTTTTGTGGATCCATACAAATTTTAGGATGGTTTCTTCCTATTTTTGTGAAAAATGCCTTTGGAATTTTTATAGAGATTGCATTGAATCTATAGATGGATTTGGGTAGTATGCACATTTTAACAATATTAATTCTCCTGATCCATGAACATGGGATATCTTTCTATTTATTTGTGTCTTCAGTTTCTTTCATCAGTGTCTTACAGTTTTCCATGTATAGATATTTTAATTCCGTGACTAATTTTATTCCTAAGTATTTTATTGTTTTTAATGTTATTGTAAGTGGGGTTGTTTTATTTGTTTCTTTTTTAGATAGTTCTTTGTTAGTGTTTAAAAACACAATTGATTTTTGTGTGTTGATTTTGTATCCTGCAACTTTACTGAATTCATTTATTAGTTCTAACAGTTTTCGAGGGTTTTCTATATATAATACCAAGTCATCAGCAAAAAGAGACAATTTTACTTCTTCCTTTCTGATTTGGATATCTTTTATTTCTTCTTCTTGCCTAATTGCTCTGGCTAGGACTTCTAGTACTATGTTGAATAGGAGTGGTGAGAGTGGGTACCTTAGTTTTGTTCCTGATCTTAGATGAAAGTATTTCAACCTTTCACTGTTGAGTATGATGTAGCTGTGGGCTTGTCATATATGGCCTTTATTATGTTGAGATATGTTCCTTCTATACCCACTTTTTTTAGAGTTTTTATCATGAAAGGATGTTGAATTTTGTCAGAGGATTTTTTGCATTTATTGAGATGAACATATTTTATTTCACTTTTCATTCTATTAATATGATGTATCACATTTATTGATTTGTGTATATCATACTATCCTTGCATCACAAGGATAAATCCCACTTCATCATGGTGTATGATCCCTTTAATGTGTTGTTGAATTCTGTTTGCTAGTATTTTGTTGGTAATTTTTTCTTCTATATTCATCAGGGATATTGGCCTGCAATTTTCTTTTCTTATGGTATCCTTATCTGGCTTTGGTATCAGGATATTGCTAGTCTTCTACAATGGGTTGGGGAGTATTCTCTCCTCTTCAATTTTTTTGGAAGAACTCGAGAAGGATTGAAGTTAATTCTTTAAATTTTATTAGAATTTATCTGTGAAGCCATCTGGTCTTGGGCTTTTCTTGTTGGGGGTGAGGGGTTTGATTACTGACTCAATCTCCTTACTCATTTGTCTGTTCAGGTTTCCTATTTCTTCCATGATTTAGTCTTGGTAGGATGTATGTTTCTAGGAATTTATCCATTTCTTCTAGGCAGTTAGGAAAAGTTTCATATCAGTACAAGGAGATGTTTACTAGCCAAGGTCTCAGATGCCATCTAAGGGCCAATCTTGCAAGCAAGCCCTTCTAAGGACAATAGTCTACTATATTATCTCTTTTCTATATACCTGTTTAATCCTCTTAACATATGCAGGATCAAAGAAATTCAACAGCAAACAAATGGGGGAGCAGTCATTAAGATCCAGGCATTCAGGTTCAGTACCATGGGAGAGCCAGGTCTCTGATATGCAGCTCTGCCTCCTGTTCTCTGACTCTTTCTGTCCCTCCTTCCTATTCCCCTTTTTGTCCAAGGCTGTGCCTCCTTTTCTTGACACATCCCCAGTAACAAACCTCCTTTCTACTTGCTTTGTCCAACAGAGACAACAGCTTTGCATAGAGCTTCAAATTTCTCAATCCTTGGTCTTTTCTTTCCTAAACCAAAGAACCGAGGGAGACAGTGGAGTCCCTCTAATGCATGAGGGTTCAGGTTCCAAGAAACCAAGACTCTGAAATACATGGTTTCCTTAAAAGAAAAGCATTAGTCCTGTAAACATCACCATCAAATACTAGGGTGAACCCATTTCTGGTACTTAGCTAAGTGTGATAATATGTTGAACAAAATTTACTAAGTACCTATTTATTATGTTCCAGGTCCAATACTAAGCCCTGGAGATGGAAAGATAAATAAGACCTGCCCTCAGAGAGCTCAAAATCTAGTAGAAGCAGAGGAGATAGGAAAACAAAGAATTACAGTGCTTTCACATCTGTTTAGCAAGTCACAGGTTCATTCGTCTGTGGTGTGATCTGATCCTCACAGCCATGCTGTCAGGAAGGAAGGGTGGGCATCACCACCTGCATTTTCCAGTTGAAGAAACCAAAGCCTCTTAGAGAGGAAGTCACACCCAAGACCACTAGGCTGGTGTGGGATAGGAATAATGCTTGCTGGAAGCCCAGCCTCCCCAGGACCAGCAGGGGGCATCTCAGAGGGCTCTGCCTTCTGTTTTAAAATATATATGTTTTTATTGATTTTAGAGAGAGAGGAAGGGAGAAAGAGAGAGAAACAACAATGAGAGAGAAACATCAACATCAATTGGCTGCCTCCTGCACACCCCCTGCTGGGGATCCAGCCCACAACCCAGGCATGTGCCCTGACCCGGAATCAAATTTGCAACTCTTGGTGCATGGGTCAACCCTCAACTACTGAGCTACACCTGCAGGGCTTCATTATCACTTTTGACTTCCTCTTAGGTATATCTCCTTGCCCACAGAGCTATGACAGTTGGGACTACTCAAAACTGGATCCAGAGAGGTTCTGGAGAGAAGAGTTAATGTTGCGGAGAGCAACACTGATAAAGGGTAAGGTACCAATTATGGACTTCTTTCCCCTTTGCCCAGGTCACGCCCGGCCACCATCTCAATGGGGCACAGAAAGGCGTTAGTATTGAAATCCTCAGGCCAGGTTCTCTCTCTTGTATCCCCAAACTAGCCACCAAAATTACTGTTAATTTATGAACCATAGTTGGAGTCAGCACAGCATAACTTCGGGAGGGCGGTATTTTATATTATAACAGATGCCAGTTATCGAGCGTCTGCTGTGTGCCAGGCACCGTGCTCAGCTCTTCTTCCTTCTTATTCAGTCCTCACAACAATGAGCCAAAGTACACACTAAATCCACACATAGGGACACTAGAGTTCAGAGAAGCAACTTCCCCAAGGCCAACTTTCTTGTTGCATTCAACAGACACGTAAAGAGCACCGTGTGCCAGGCACTGTGCTATATAAATACTGGGATCACGTGTAGAGGCAAGCACAGTCCCCGCCGTGCCGTCTAATGGGAAATACAGGCAACACAATTATACTGCAGTGGATTGGGCGCTATGACGGGGAATACAGGTGCTGAGCAGCATGGGAAGGGGTACCCAGTCCAGCCCTGAGAGGGTCAAGAAGGAGCAGGTAGGCTGAGATTCAAAGGATGTGTGTTTTAGGCTGGTAAGGGGGAGGACTGCTGTTCCAGACAGAACAGGAGGCATGAGGGGAACAGAGAGGCATTCATTCCTTAAGGCAGCAGCGGGAGGATTGTGATGGATAACCAGCCTGTGGGTGCCTCAAGCAGGATTCAAACTCAGGACTGCAGTGTGGTCCAGGAGCCGGCAGCATCAGCATCTCTAGATGGACTGAATCAGATGCAGTTCACCAAGATCCGCAGTGATCTATAAACACGTTCGTTTGAGAAGCCCTGGTGCAGGGCACAGGGAAGAGAACACCTGACAGTCTGAGAAAGGAGTGTGGCTGCGGCGACCCTGGCAGGCAGAACAGCCACCGCTTATTCCGAGCCAGGTGCTTCTGTGCTACTTTTCTACATGTTTGCAGTTATTGATCCACTTAATAGGTTTGCTTTCTCAGCTGTCATCATGGACACACAGGAATTTCAAAGTGAAAAAAATCTAACCTGCAAAAAAATTGTCTTCAAATTTAATGAGTTTCAGTGAATACTAAATTTAGCACCTTATAAGACTGATAGATTGTTACTTTTTAAAGCATTTAATCCAATCCAACATTTATTCATTTCAGTTGCACTGGGTTCTGAGTTTTTTGTTTTTCTTTTGAAGGCCTTTTTTTTTTTAATGTACATTAAGTGCTCGTCCAGTGTACTCCTTTAATCTGTTCATCAGCCTGTGAGGTAGTTAGTATTCACATCTTTATCGGGATCAGAGAGGTTAGGCAGCTTTCCCAAGGTGACTCAGTAAGTGGTTCTCGTTGCCTGAGGCGGTTTCTCTTGCTGTTGTTGTTGCCTCCAGGGAGGGGCTGCCTCAAAGCCCCTGGTCTGCAGTGTCACCCCAGGGCATGAAGGAACTGAAAAGCAACTTTTTCTCTCCCCTAGGAAAAAAGATGTTCTCCCTCATTTCTAAGACAGGCTCTTCCCGAAAGTCTGTCCAGATCAGGAAAGTCCCCAGTCCTCGGGTAAGTGGGGAGGCACAAACCCAGACCCCTTGGAGCCCCATAAGCTTCACTGACTTCTGGTCAGTCCCACATCTCTGCCCTCCCTACCCCATCATCTTGAGGAGAGGCCCTGAATTTTCCCAAGTTCCAGAACATAGGTACAGTGAGGGTCAATAACAGTATCGACCCAAATTCCTCCAGTTTGTGCTCATACCTGCTAATACTAGATCTCAAAGCCCATTCCACTCAGATATTTCTGGGCATCCCCAAGTTGAATCTCACATTGGCTCAAAAACAGGCTCTCCTGGTGCTCTGTCCCTTCACAGCTGAGCTCTCAGTATGTGGAATCTGAGCAGCAGAGTTACCCCTTGGGGTAGAATGGTTCCACCTCTGTGCCATGGTGGGGAGGAGGCCTCAGAAAGTCTTATTTTACCTCCACCCCAACCATAGTTACCTAGCCTTGTGCACTCGGGTGGTTGCTGGTCACAACATAAGAACAGATGGAAAAGTCCACCGTGTGCAAATTTTCTCTGCACATATCCTCTCTCATCCTTACATTTCTGCTGTCAGTCTGAGCGTTTTCTGCATCATTATGCTGCCTCTCCAGCAGATAGGAGAGTCTAGTAACGCAAGCCAAGCCAGTCTCTGCATTTACTCTCTGCTCTAGTGTAGAGCTCCCTGAGGCCTGTTAAGAATGAACGTGATGCTTCATTGAGCCCAGGGGGTGTTTTCTCTCTAACGAATCCCGGTCACCACTTCAGCACTGCAAACAGTAGCGGTCGGACAACCAGCTGCATGGTGGATGGAAAGTCCATTCAGCTTTCTTCTTCCTAGTTAAATATCATATTTATGTAAAAGCAGCGTAGTGGTTGGGGCTGGTGGACTGCTTGTCTGCCACTTGGTGGGCCATCTGTTTAGCATCACTAAACTCCCACTCATCCTTAAAGACAGAACCAAAGTGTCTTCTCTCCTTGGAAACCCTCCAGCTCTCCCCCAGACAGAATCAAGCATTCCCCACTCTGCCTTCTATGCTACTCAGCTCGTACCGCTTCTGGCCCACTATTAGTTGTGTGCCAGTGCCTGTTGTTCCCTTCCTCTACAGAAAGAGAACCTCTGATTTTTATCTGGGCACATACACAGCCAGATGCAAGATTACATTTCCTAGCCTCCCCTACACCCATGTGTAGCCATGTGACTAAGATCAGTTAATGAGATATAGGTGGATGTGCCAGTTTCCAGGAGCCTTAAGGAAAGAGCTCATATGAATCCTTTGCCTCTTTGCTGTTCTCTCCAGTCTGCTGCCTGGAATGTGAGTGTGATGACTGGAACTCTAGCTACCATTTTGGACCCTAAAAACAAGATTTCTATCTTAGGAAAGGTGGAACCATGAGCTGGAAGAAGTCAGGAGCCCTAAGGTCTTACCCCAGCAGAAATACCATATAAGCCCTGAATTGTCTACCTTCAGACTGTTATGTGGGAAAGAAATTTCTTTTTTTTTTTTTTTTGTAATCCTCACTGGAGGGTATGCTTTTATTGATTTGAGAGAGAGAAAGAGGGAAAGAGGGAGAGAGGGAGAGAAA